CCATAAATAATAATAAAACTCCTAATCTTGAAAGCTGAGATGGGATGAACCAAGGGTCAAAAGAAGAAAATCCACAGACCTCCACGGAATTATCTAATGAAGACTCCCCCATGCCGCTTGAATAGGAGAGGAAGCTCAGGCCAGTAAAAGGAAACACGAAGGCTCAAGCTCAAAAAAACACATGCAAGAATTTTTTACAGAACTGAAACAAGAAATGAAAGAAATCAAGTCTTATCACTCCAATGACGACAAAACTAGACAACTTAACAAAGACCATGGAAAAAATTAAAGCAGTTGCAGACTCAGCTGCAGCTGAAGTGAAAAATAACAAACAAGCTATCTTGGAGATACGTGATTATGAAGCCTTGTCCAAAAGTAAGTTAATGTTACTAGAACTCAGAGTGCGTGAGCGGAAAATTAAAATTCGTGGGATTCCACCAAACTTTGAACCTGACTACAGCTTTAAATTTGTGGCTGAGTGGTGAGCTGAAACTTTCAAGTACAGTGGTTATGACAGCATACAGACTAAAAACTAGTAGAGTCGGGTCACGAGCCTTAATCCCAGATGTTATTGTAGAGATTGTGGATGTTCAAACAAAGAAATTAATTTTAGAAACTGCTCGTAGCCAAAAAGGTTGGAAACTAGATGATGTTATCACCCAAATATTCCCAGATCTCCCGTATGAAATCTTGACGGCTCGGAGAAATATGTATCCAGTGGTACAGAGACTAAAACTAAAAATACCATATTGGTGGTTACCTCTGGGTCATCTTAGAGTTACCCAAGGGGGAAGGACTTGGACAGCCCATGATGTACCTTCGGGAGAGGCTGCCAGTGGCTCAAAGGACTAGACCTGATAAGGATGTGAAATAGGCAGTGCTGGAATAAAAACCCTTACTTAAATTTAAGTTGGGATTTTGCACAACGTGGGTAAGACTGTATGGGGAAGATCCCCAGCCCACCAATGACGAGTCTCTTTTAGGGACTCCTTTGGGAAACCAAAGATTCTGGAGCAGGCAGCACGTCCCAGAGATAAACACTAAAAGATAAAAATGTTGGTGTTCAGCAGTAATTCTTGCTTTCCTTTAACTGTAATAGTTACATAATAAAATTATATATTAGAATGTATTTATTTATTTTTTTATTTTTCATATTTGTATCTCGCCCTCCCCAATGCCATGCCATAGGTAAAAACATAGTAAAAAATCCAACACTAAAACCACAGTACTCCATCCATTACTAATATCCTAAATCCAAGATGGTAACACTGCAGTTCCCGGGAGCTCGTTCCACGAGGTAGGAGCCGCCACCGAAAAAGCCCTGGCCCTGGTCACAGCTAGTTTCCCATCCTTGGGACCCAGGATGACCAACAAATTTTGGGTACCCAACCGTAGTGCTCTTGGGGGAACATGTGGGGCAAGGCGGTCCCTCAGGTAGGCTGGACCCTGGCCATATAAGAAGTGTAAAGAAATAAATTGACAAGTAATTAACAGCAATTGAAAAAATAATTTGGGGTTAAGGGGGGTAAGGAAAACAAGATGTATGAATTGTGTAATGATATATTTTTGAAACGTAGAATTAAGTTTGTGAGAACATTCCCAATTGGAGTATAAAAATAGGACAGATATTAGAAATTAATCCAATTTGGGCATATTGTAGGTTATCCTTGACAAATTAGTTTAAATGTTATTCCTTCCTTTGTTATTATGTTTTGTATAAACTTGTATTATGGGAATTAAAAGCAAAATAAAATATTTTTAAAAAATAAAGTGGACCAGCATGACAGACAGCAGGGTTGAGGGAGCAAGGACAGGGTGTTGTAGGTGTTTAGTTTCTAACATAAAACTATATTAGAAATATTGTCATATTGAAATTTTCAATAAATACAACATCTACTCTTGTGTTTTATATATGTAATTTTATTTCTAAGAAATTTTATGGAACATATTTTGGCACACAAACAGATAACAGGATTTACCAGATGACTACCAAAGCATATGAGATTATATATTACAAGAGTACAAACCACAAAAACAATGAAGTCACGTGTGCTAATATTTTTAAAGATAAGGACAATAAGGGACAAAAATAATGTGCTGAACACATAAAAATAATCTTATGTACAGATTTTCCCAGATACAAATACAACATTTCCCTTTAAAAATAAATATACATGTATAAAGGTAACATGGCCACTAAATAAAAGACCACTTAGCTTGTACTCAACAAATCAAAAGAGAAATATTCTTACAAATGGGCTGCTCTCCAACAGCCACTCATACTGGCAGAAATACATTCAGGGTCTATTTGGCGCCATTTGTCCCAATCCAGAGTCCCACACATTCCCTCCAGCGTGTACATGAACTTCCTGTGTAAACTGGCTTTCCCATTCACTTGAATGGATGCAGAAAGCTTCATACATCAAACCTCATTGTATGCATGAAGCTGCTCTTTCCACGGATATGGACAAAGGAGCGATTGGAAACTCCACATCCACAAAGGATCAGTTGTTGGACTTAATGACATCAAAAGTGCAATTATGCTAGTTTAAGGTTTGTTGACTGCAACAGTGGTAAAAATTAAGCCAGTATTTATGTTTTTTCCTCTCACACAATTAAGTGCTTTGCTATCGTGAAGACATTAAATAAACTACCAGAAGAACTCCAAACTCTATTAAATTAGTCCTGATGCAGGCTAGTACTGTGAGGTTCAAAAGCAAAGCCCACACATATTATATATTATACACACACATACCACTCAGCAAGATTGCCAGCATCAGATATTTAAGAAGTACATGGTTCAAAATGTCTCAGACTAGAACTATTAAAAATATAATATTTTGTTTGCAAACAAGACCTGGATTCACTAATACCTTAGCCTTTCATCTACTGATGCTTCAATATAATATCTAAAATAGCAGGAAACAACATACCAAACCATGAAATATGGCAGCTCTGGACTGATACCTGACTAGTTACATGTTAGCATATTTTTGAAGAGGGAATATTCTGCAAACCACGTGGGCTTGGTTTACTGAAATGAGTGTTTGTGCTGATTTAATTACACAAGCTTCGTCTACCAATGCACCTCAACTTTTAAACATTTTTGGTTGGTGTAGCTGCTTGCAATACCCCAGGTGTTAAGGTTTGCAGTGTTCCGTGAATACCTTTCCCCATTCCATATTTGCTAACATGGCAAGTTTGAGGATCAGCTTAAGGCCTCAGGTCTCTGTCCTACCACTGGCAAACCACCTTAAGAAATGCATCACTGCATTGGGGCATGACAGCTGATCTGGTCTGAGCATCTGTTAAGTGAAACTACACATCCTCTTACCACAACCCGGATAATATTATGACACAAGAGTCTTCTCCACGACTTCCAGAATCAGGATTTCTTTTTTGTAGGCTACTGTAAGTTGCATAGACAACATATAAAAGGTAAAAGCGAAACAACCATTGTTGAAACAATGGATATTATCTGATTTCAAAATGAATACTTAAAAAGAGAAAAATAAAATCCATAAATCTGTAAAAAATATTCTAGTTTTATAAATTAGTTTACAGGAAAAAGTATGAATCTATAAATTTAAAATATATAAAAAGAGCTCAAGACACTCAAGATGCAGATTTAAGGGCCAACAGATCTCTGCACCTTCTCATTACCACTGAGAAATTAACAACCTGGTGTTTGTTTTTCAGTGTCAGGCAACAAATACTATAACACTCCAGTTCACACTGCAAAAATCACAGTGCTAGACATCATAGAGAACTAACACTTTTGTGATTGCAAATCCCACATCTTAAACATAGACAAGCTAATGGTTTCAAAAAGGGTCAGGAAGGTCTACATAAGTGATACTCAGAGAAGCAGCACAGATAACATATATAAGGTAAAAGCTTGGATTCCTCTCTCAGCAAGTCTTGAGGGGGCCAAATGGCAGTGTGTCCCTGTGTCATCAGAACAATACAACAGGCTAACATACTTTCCTTGTCTTATTTGCCAGTAGAGTCAGAGCAAACCCTCTGTTTTGGGGAGCTGGTAGCAGTTACTTTATTTCCTATTAATTCCTCTCTTAAGACCTTGCATTTTTCCTTTGGTTTGTTTAAACTAAGACCAGCACAAAGGTATTTCCAAATGAGCTTTCTGTTTTGTCAGAGTTACATTTCAGAAAGTTAGGAATGACTTGTTTGTGCAAGATAGGCATCAGCAGGCTATGGCATAAGTTAGGAACCCTCAGGTTAATTAAAGCCAGGACTACAGGCCATTTCTGGTCTAGCTTCACTGCATAAAGACACAGTTCTCACTGAGGCAATAAACCCAGGGTTGGGCTGGGCCACTTCAGACTGAAGGCAAGGGCTCACATGAATAACTACACCTCTATACAAGAAAAGTAGTAGCTGTCCACACAGAAGACCACGTCACAGGCAAAGGTTCTAAATTAGCCTTTTGCCTAAGATTGTTTTCTGTGTGGATGAACCTTTTTCTCATCATGTGAGCTCTTACCTGCAGGTTGTAGTGGAAAAGCTTAGACTCAGGCTTAGAACCTCACTGAGATTTTGCCCTCTCTTATTCATCCCATCAACTAATATGTACAGCTTCAAACAAAAGAAGCAAATTGGTGATGTTAACTTATCCCATGCTAAACAAAGCCAATCACGTGATTCCATATTGGACAGCTGCTCTTTGAAGAGGCAAAAGTTCAACTTTGAACAGTGCCATGTTTTCCTTTTCTGTTTAGATTCATCTCCTTGAATGCAGCTGCCACTGTGTCTCCCATGACTTTGGCACAACATGGAACTTCAGAACTGCAGCAACTCTTCCAAGAAGGTATGAGTTTCAGGTTGATAGTGAAGCTTCTTGAAGATGTGACAATGTATTCCAGCCATGGAAGAGGAAGCAGATTTTCCATGTTTACAAGTTTAGTATTTACTACTAAAGTGACACCAAAAAGTACTATTTATTTAACTCTTTGTCAAGCAGGTCAACGCAAATAGGCATGTACGGTTTAAAGCAGAGTGGACCTACATTCAGCAAGTGACTTTTGATGCTCCTGAACTGGAGAGCTGCTACTTCTTGACATGGTTTTGCTCAGCATTATTCTGGGGAGTGTGAAGTTGCTGAGCAGCCTGATGGATCAGGCCACTGTAGGAGAATGACTCCCACTCTCCCGTCCACAAATGCTCTGGCATAAACTATGCCTGAATCCTTCATTTTTCCTTGGATTGTTTTAGACCATGGATCCAAAAAAATTAGGGCCAAAAAAGTCTTGATCATCTAAACACTGCAGCAATTTTTGGTGAGCGTTGACCTCTTTGTTGTTGTCCCTGCCAAGTCGGTTACAGACCTGTTGTCATCTTCACTATTGCTTCTTTTCCGCACTTCTCTATGAAAGAATAATTAGCCATGATTAAACAGAACAATATCAAAGCAGAAATGTGAGATCTGAATAAAAAGCAAAGTAAATACCTTGTACTAGCCCAGCATTAGGTTCCCTGAGCTAATGCTACATTATTTATAGTTACTAAGCAAGCCACAGAATCACAATACCACCACAGAAGAATATGGCAATCATGTTGCAACTTTGCACAGTAAACATCCACATCTGCCCATAACATTTTAGATGCAAGCTGCCTTGAGGAGATCTCTGAAAAGACAGCATAAACTTTTCTAAATAAATGAATAACTCTCATCCATTTTGCAGTGTTTTCTCCCTGGATACAATCTGCAGGAAAAAGAAGCACTACATGAGTATACTGAAATTAATGGAAGTTGTACAATAGAATTTCTCAGTGGATTGTGTCCTGTATGACTCATTGACCAAATGATCAAGAAATATAAACAACCAACCAATCTGTTTTAGGATTTGTCTGCACCCTTGCACTTTGTTGTATTTTATTTCAGTTTGTCCCAGTTGTCCTAGTACTAGTTGTCACATTACCCACATAAGCATAACACATTTTAGGACTATGGACTGGGGGGAGGGAAGAGTTTGGAATTCTGCAAGGCGGAAAACAAGCTCCACTCCCCCAGATCAGAAGAAATTACTGACATGCCAAAAGCTAACAAGTTAGTTGACATAAAAGGCAATGGGCCTGCAACAGACAGTAAATGGTTATTGTTTTAGCCTAGTCTGAGAACCCTGAGTAACAAGGGATTCAAATGGAATTCTACAGTTAAGAGTGTCAGTTAGGAGTGACAGTTAAGAAATAACAGCTGACTGCAAAGGAAGGCTAAAGGAAAGGATCCAGAAGGATCCCCATTCAAGCCTGAGGGAAATAGCTCCCAGAAAGGGGGATGATCCCTATCCAGTCTGAGGGAAACCGCTTCTAGTGAAGGGGGGTGATCCCTATTAAGTGGTTAAGAACAGAAACTGGAACTTGTGTGAATGTTCCTGCCTTCACAAATTTAAGTGTCTTGGAGACAAAGTGGTTTATGCTTGTCTATTTAAGCAAAGACTGCCAAAAAATCTCTCTCCTAAGTGTTTAAAGACCTGTCTGTATATCTAAATCACGGACAAAGAGGCGGGGGGGAGGAGTGGCTATTTTCATTCGAGAGGCTTTCTCCTTCAGGGCGCTTCCAGCCGTGGAGATCACGGGCATTGAGTGTGTTGGGGCAATGCTGGAGGCTGAGGAGAGTTTGGCGATTTGGGTGGTGTACCGACCGCCTAGCGCACCAGCCAATAGCCTGCCGTCTCTGCTGGAGGTCGTATCAGGCTGGGCGTTGAAGCACCCACGGATGTTGGTCGTGGGTGATTTCAACGTCCATGCCAAGGACGCGACCTCCAGCTGGGCTGCGGACCTACTGTCGTCCATGGTGGCAATGGGACTCTCTCAGGTCATCACGGCCCCCACGCATCGGGCCGGTCATACGCTCGATCTGATCTTTGCTGCAGGAGTAATGGTGGACCGGATTACTGCAATTGCGGTACCATGGTCGGACCACCAGGCCCTGAGGGCTCATCTGAATGTGCCACCCCAACCTCGCTTAGGCGGCGAGCGGTTTTTTGCTCGCCCGCGAGGCCAAATGGACCCAGTGTGGCTTCAGATGGCGTTGCAGGAGCCGAAGCCCCCTGGCAGCTCGTTGGATGAGCTAGTGGAGGACTGGCATGACCGGCTCTCCGCGGCCATTGACGAGATTGCTCCCAGGCGTCCTCTCCGGACTCGAGTGAGGCCGGCGCCCTGGTATACCCAGGAGTTGTGCCAGCTGAAGCGAGAACTGAGACAACTAGAGAGATGGTGGCGTCGGGCTCACGACGAGGCGTCAAGAGCATCTTATAGGACGTTTATGAAGGCCTATGAGATGGCAGTCAAGGCCGCAAAGAGGGAGTTCTTTGTGGATAGGATTGCATCTGCTAGCTCTCGCCCAGCACAGTTATTTATTACGATTCGGTCATTGACAACACTGCCACAGGGCAGACAAAATGTGAGGGAACTGGACATCGGTGAGGCATTTGCGAGCTATTTTGCAGAGAAAGTCTTGGCGCTCCGTCGTGACCTCCCCGCCACAATTGATACAGTAAGTGAACTTGAGGCCCCTTGCACGTCTTGGGAGCCGGGTTTAGAGTGTTTCTGCCCACTCAGTCTGGAAGAAGTTGACAGATTGCTTACGGTAGTGCGCCCAACCACATGCGACCTTGATCCGTGCCCCTCATGGCTCATCAAGATGGGTCGCGAGGGGTTTCGAGGTGCCCTGCAGGAGATTATTAACAAGTCCCTCTTGGAGGGATGATTCCCCGGGGCACTCAAGGAAGCGATGGTCCGCCCTCTCCTAAAAAAGCCATCTTTAGACCCGGCCGAATTGGCCAACTATTGGCCGGTGTCCAATTTACCCTATTTGGGCAAATTGATAGAGAGGGTGGTGGCAACACAGCTGCAGGCATTTCTGGATGATGCTTCTGTCCTTGATCCCCACCAGTCCGGGTTTCGTCCGGGTCACGGGGTGGAAACTGTACTGGTCGCGCTGACTGACGACCTCCGTAGGGATCTGGATTGAGGCGGAGTGGCGGCACTGTTGTTGTTAGATCTGTCGGCCACTTTTGACACGGTCGACCATCAGTTGCTGGCCCGCTGCCCCACCGACGTGGGGATTCAGAGGCCTGCCCTTCAATGGCTGGTCTCTTTTCTCCAAGGTCGGGGACAGAGGGTGGCGATAGGGGATCAGCGCTCCCGGAGGTAGCCCCTGGAGTGTGGTGTACCTCAGGGGGCAGTGCTATCCCCGATGTTGTTTAATATCTACATGCGCCCCCTCGCCCAGATTGCCCGGAGCTGCGGGCTGGGATGTCACCAGTATGCGGATGACACCCAGCTGTATCTGATGCTGGGCGGCCCGTCGGATTCCACTCCCGATGACCTTAGTCGGGCGTTACAGGCCGTGGCTGGGTGGCTCAGACTGAGTCGGCTGAAATTAAACCCGGCAAAGACGGAGGTCCTGGGGCTGGGTCGGACCGGTCCGGGGTTAGGGCTCCCGCTCCCGACCTTCGACGGGGCGCCATTGGTGCCGGTGGC